ATTACGCAGTTTCAGGTATTCTGTTATAAGCAACAGAAATGGACTAATGCATAGACAAACTAAAAGAAAAAAAAAAATCATCCACAGCCCCACTGCCTAGAGAGAGCCACTGACAACAGGTTGGCTTATATACTGCCTTTATTGTTCTTATGCATAAACACATTTTTACAAGAAATGGTTCACACGGTACATACTATTTTGAAAACTACTTTTCACTTTACTTCTGTCTTCAACTTTTCATCAATACTACAATATCTTATTTTGTTAATTAGTTTTTTTAATACAAAACTAACAGACACTCTTTTAATAGTTTCAGAATATAAGATAAAACACAAAAGTATTTCTCCTCATCTCTATCTCCCAGTTTCACTTCCTTGGGGTAACTCGAAGACTTCGTTCTTTCTATTTCTTTCCAGAAATTTTCTATGTATGTATGTATAAACTTTTTTACATATGTATACGCACACACAAATAGTGATTATATATCACAAGATATGTAACCAAGTCCTGTTATGTGGAAATTCAGAGTTGTTCCAACTTTTCACTACAGTGAACATCCTTGTGGTTAAATCTTTTACACAACCACGGTTATTTTCTTCAGATAAATTCCAGAAATGAATGGCTAGATTAAAAGATACGCACAATTTTAAGGCATTGGATATTTGCTGCACATTTGCCCCTCACAAGGTTTGTGCCAATTTCACATTCTCACCAGTAGACATCATTGGATTCCTAAAAACACTTAAAATTGAGGTATAACACACACACTGAGAAGTGTACAAGCCGTGAATTAGACCTGCACTGTCCAGTGTGGTAGCCGCTAGCTTCATGTGGCTACTGAACACTTGAAATGTGGCTAGTCCAAACTGAGGTTTGCATGCTACAAGGGAAAGATACACACCAAATTTCTAAAAATAAAAAAAATAGTTTTTTATATATTGAAATAATATTTTTGATATATTACATTAAATATATATATATATATATTACTAAAATTAATTTTACTTCTTTTCACTTTTTAAATGTGGATAGTGGGAAAAATTTAATTACATATGTGGCTTGCATTGTATTTCTTTTGGACATCACAGAGTAAGACCATGGTATGGCTCCCCTGATAATAAAACCTACTTCTCGAGCCGCACACTGCTGATTTGCTCTGTTCCTATTCCTCTCCTGCTTGTCCACCTGCCCGTGCCTCAGTTATACCCAGGCAGCGTTCTTAGAACTGATGGAGTTGTCTTCAACACTCCAGTTCTTTATCAGGAATGACCAATAAACATGTGGTGAGTGACCACTTTTGAAGATAATGGGATTACATATTACAACTATGATCTACCAGAGTCTACCTTTGAGTATCAACCTCTAAATTGCAGATTTAATAATTTGTTAATTTATTTGTTAGAATGTGTAAGTACTTAGACTCCAAGAATGGCTGAACTTGACATCTGCCCCTACTGAAATGTGCACACAGGACACAGACAGAATACCCATCCTCGGGAGTCAGTTCATCAATGTGAGCTCATCGTCTCTCTATGCCTCAATGTTTTCTTCTTTTCTGTGAAGCAAGGATGATGGAGTGGCACACACAGTTTTAGACAAGAGCAATCAGCACTACATAAACACTGCGAGGAAGAGAGATTATCAGGATATGGCTGGGACTATGGCTCAGGTACAGGCCATCTCTGTTCACGCCCCACCTCTTGAGGTTCAGAGTGGCTGACCATCCCTCCCTCCTCATCAGTTCTCAGCTTTCCCTTTTGCTCCTCGCTAAAGTACATATTGACTGTACCAGAACACGCCCTAGGTACACACACTTTTTCATCAAAAACAAATGCTGTTCCTGGGTAGGCTCTTCCCCAGCCACCCACCTGCTCCCAATCACTCCAGAGTAGAAGCAACATGCAGATTAGTAGGAGGAAAAGGCCCTTGGGTGGGCATGTCAATCTGCTACCTTTCTGCCCTAGTGTTGGCTCACATCTTGTTCTTTGAGTCACTTTTTCATTGGACTCAGCTTTAGTGTTAAAGACAAGACAATAACAAAGAATTTTAAAAAATTATCTGCAAGTGTTTTGGGCTCAATTGTGTGACTGATTATTTGTAATGTGGCCAAAACCCTTGCTTCATTCCGCCATTGCAGTCAAGTGGCTTCTGTCAGGCAGATATCCAGGTAGAAGAAATGAAAATAAATATCTCTGTTCCAACATGTCTTCATCATCATACTTTATTTTTTGTTGTTTTATTATGCTTACCTTTGTGAGAATGTTTCTAGTTCTTTGGAACTCTCCACTTAGAGTTTCTATAAAATTGCATGGTTAAATTAAAGAGCCAATATAAATAAACTTTTAACAAGAAAAATGAGAGTTCTCTATGAAAGACTTCCCTCCTACATTTGGAGAATAAGGGAAATATCTTGTTGATAGAAATGTCAACTGAGAACCAAAAGAGTGCCATCTTTGTTCCGTTACTGTTTTGATTTACTAGATGAACTTGAGTTAATGTCTTAGCCTTAATTTTGCCATCCATGAATGGGGGACAGAATGTTTTCCTTTCTTCCTGTGTCATGTTCAGATGGGCATTGCAATAAAAGCAATAAACTAATACAAATGGAATAAATTATTTCTTGGACTACAGTAGTCTTCATTAGCATTTGAAACTATTTTCCAACTCCAAATTCTGTGATTACAAATAATAAAATGCTTTCATTCTTTCCAACCTCGGTGTTTAAATACACTGGTAAAATCTAAAGACCTTTTTCATATGACAGTAAGCCAGACTATAATTTTCGCCTTACACAGACTGCCAGGCACTCCTTTTCTCTCTCATATCCACAGCTGAGCATATACTTCTTAAAGGCTTTCTACCTCCACTCTCTTTGTGCCATTACCCCAGGGTTAAACAAATTTTAAAAATTTTCAGTGGTGCCATGGGATGAACAAGATTGAATAGCCTTCCAGCAGCATTGGCTGAGCCAGAGAAACCAAAAATTCAAACTCCCTTTGGATTAAAAGAACTGTAGGGACTTTGAGAATAAAACAATTCCTTCCCTTCTCATCAGCAGTATGAAGCCAATACCCATGAAATGGCAGATTTCTAATGAGGACATTGCTAAGTATTAAATGTTATGGTATAAAACATTACTACCATTATCATAAAAAAGAAAGGCTTATGCACTATTTAAATCGGTTTTTATCTTCAGATTAATTTTCCTGCGAAAAGCACTACTTCCCAATCTAATTTGCCTTCTCAAAGTTTTGAAAGCATTGTCAGATTAAAGAAAACCAACTGAGTGTAAATTGGAAGTCTTTAGATCTCAATGACTCATGGCTATTGATAAGGTCTCATTAATTATAATGGCCTAAATGCCATTGATTCTTGCCCCTGTTAGTTCACCCAGACCTCCAGCTCCCTAACACCCTCCCACTGTCTCCCATCACGAGAGTCCACAGGGCCTGTCCCCTATATGTGCTGAGCCCCTGCCGGCCCCCCAGCTCTGTGGGTTTGGTGGACTCTGCTGGCCTCTCATGCTTCTTCCTTGGGAGCCAGAGTCAGTCTTGGGGTTCCAGTGAGTGCTGCCCTGCCCCTCAGGCAGTGCCTCTTCTCCACCTCCCCTTCCTTTCTGTTACATTCTGTAAGAGCTGTCCCAAAACTATGTCATTTGTGCCTTGATTATTTTGCAGAGATTCGGGGGAGTAGCTCTTTGGGTTTTTTACTTACTGGCTTCTTGCTTACTATATAAGAGTTGAACATGAAGCTGATACCAGAGGAGAGGGTCTGGGTAGGTCAGACAGCCAGCCTCAACCCACCCTGTCCTCTCCCAGGTTCTTGACTCCATCACAGGAAAGAATTCAAGAGCAGAGTCAGAGTAGAAAGCGAAAATAGGTTTGATGTAAAGAATAAGGAATACAGACTTCACAGGGAAAATGCGACCCGGCTCCAGAGACTGAGCAGCAGCCGCTGCAAGTTTAACACAAAAGTAAGAAATACATACATTACGGACAAAGCGCAGACTAACTCCAGGGTGGACAACAGCCTGCTAAAGGCAAGTTTCACACAAAAAGTAAGAAATACACACCTCACAGGCGAAGTGCAGGCCGGCTCCAGAGGGAATGAGCAACAGTCCTGCCTTCTTCCTGAATTCAACTTTTATAGTTTGTCTATCTATACATATTCATGTTGTCTAATGAATATTCAGTTAAAGGGGTGGTTTCTGGTTATATAACATAGCCTTGAGCATGCTCAGTCGGTCTCTTTAGAGCAGGCTCGTTAGTCAAATTCCACTGAATATGCTGAAAAGATGCTAGGTGTTCTCTAGTGCCTCTGGGAGAAGGTCCTTCATAGCATAAACTCCTTTCTACTGAGCTTGCTCAGCCACTGGAATTACATAAATCTGCCCCTGTGCTCTCTGTCTGCACCAGTTGGTGCTGGTTATACGTGTAACAGGCAACTGTAGCTCAGGACTCAGAGGAGGGGCTGGATCCTAGGGCAGTGGTTTAAGACCCAGGAGAGTGGCCTGAAACCTGACCCCAGGGAAACTGAGCACCTCCTGTCTCAAAGCCATCGAAGTGGGCAGAGAGATGTAGGCTAGGCCAGCACCCTTTCACACTCAAGTTTGTCCCTCTCCCCTGACAAGCAGTACTCCATCCTAAGACTGGATCTCTCTTTTCTTGACATAAATTATCTTGTAGGAGGCTTCAACGTCCCCCACCAGAGCTTTCTTTCCAGTCTCCCCACTAGTTCACCCAACAAGCCTGAACCTCCTGCAAGTGGACACATCCCAGACACTAGCTAAGATCCCTGCCAAGTGAGGATTTCCTCTTGTTCTGTTGAAACCCCCCCAGACCACCCTCGGGGGTTGAATTTGAGGTTGAGGGATTGTGGTTTGAAGTCAGGAGGAAAGTAGAAGTGAGCCGTGAGGACTCGTGGGGGCCGGGGAGGCTGAACTTCCCAGGAAGGCACCGGGCGTTTCGTGTCTTAATTCAGGCTGTGCCTTCTCTCTGCAGAACGACATCTTCGAGTGGGCCAGGGACCACCGAGTCCACCACAAGTACTCCGAGACAGACGCTGACCCCCACAACGCCCGCCGGGGCTTCTTCTTCTCCCACATCGGGTGGCTGTTTGTTCGCAAGCATCGAGACGTCATCGAGAAGGGGAGAAAGCTTGACTTCACCGACCTGCTTGCCGATCCTGTGGTCCTGTTCCAGCGAAAGTGAGTGGACATTAGACAGGGTTGTCCCTCGGGGTCCCGGATAAGAGGCAGAAAGCACAGTGGGGTGCGGTAGCACCCCCGTGGCATTCTCTTCAAGCATTTACCCAACGACTTGGTCTTAGTTTTAGGATTTATCCTTGTTTGTTAATTTTCTTTTGCTCATTACGTTTTCCCTGTTGGCACATTTGTTTTGAATTTTAAGTTTTATTTGTAACAGATTTCCTGTGAGCCCAGTGTCATTTCCTTCAGACTAACGTTGTATGACGGATTTCATGGAATGTGTTTCTGTGTTTCCCCACTCTCCTATTCATTTCCTGGGGTGGCAGAAGGGGGCTTGCTTTATTTTAGTGACATGCTTGACTCCACTTCACTCCACCAGGACTGGTCTCCTGAAATTCTCTTGTAGTGAAGCCTCTCCCGCACCCCCACTCATGGAAATGTTACACTAGTCGGTTTCTGTGCAGAGCAAATGAGACCGAGTAACAGAGAGCCTCGAAGCACTTGTGCGCCCTGATGGTGTCAGCTGAGCATACCCAGTCAGCTGGCATTTGCAGGATGAAACTACTAGCAAAAGCGTGTGGAGAAAGATCACCTGTAATTCTGCTGGCGAGTAGAGCATGACCATTGTTCACCTTCTAACTGGAAAACTGGCATGTATTGTCTACGTGTTGGTCTGGGTCTGCAAAGTCAGCCATGATGAGAGCATTTATAAATGGGCTTGTTGCCCCTAACGCAATGGGTTTCTGTGCAAAGAGGGACAACTTATGGGCCACGTTCTGGTTGGAGCCTTGAGATAACACAGTGAGTAAATGTTACGGGAGACCATCTCCACTGACAGGTGGCAGTTATCTGAGACTTACGTGAACAGAATCTCCTATTCAGCCTGAAAATGGAACTGGAGACAGTGCCTTTGTCCAACACAAGACTCCTTGCAGGAAAGGAAGTATGGCTCAATGCGTGCTTGTTTTCCCTTGACCTCTCTTTTTACACTGGAGGGAGCAGTAGAGTGTAGTGAAAAAATGGCAGACCATGGAGACGGATGCCCAGGATCCAACTCAGCGATCCACTACTTACTAGCAAATGAGTTAACCACTCTAAGTCTCTGTTTCATCTGTAAAGTGGGAGTAACAGTAATACCTATCTCCTACAACTTTTATGAAGATGTAATGGGAAAAAAAAGTATGGAAACTTCCTGGCACATAGTAAGAGCTTAGTGGACTTCAGTGACTTCTAGTATTAGACAGACAGCTGTTAGTCTACGAGTCTGTGTGTTTCCATCACTGCTTCTGTTGGCTTCACGGTAGGGCTCCATGAGCCTCAGTATAGCTCTTTCAGGTGGACATACCCAGTATCAGTAGCCAAAAGTTTTCAAACAGAAAATAACAAGATGTTTTCATTTAACAATGAAATGATTTCTTGATTTTGGTTTTTTACCATGAGAGGAAAATTTTAAAGATCATTAGAGAAAAAGCTGAAAAATTTAGAGAATTAGAAAGAAAATAACCCGTAGTCCTAATATAAATGTGGCCACCATTAATATTCTGTAGTATTTCTTACTTTTTATGCATATATTTGATATATTTTGCATGATGGCAGTCATACTGCATATGTTATTTTACATCTCGCTCTTATCTTCAGATTATATTTTGGCACTATTGTCAAAGGCTGCATAACAGTTCATCAGTTAAGCATGTCACGGTTTATTTAACCATCAGGCTGCAGTTGGATATGTATGTCGTTTCCAATTTTGTGATATAAATGATGTTGCTATACAGTTAGTAATGCTTTGGGACCGACATTAAATTAATTTGAAGAGCTCAGATGAGAAGGCAAAGGATCTTCTGTCTTATTAATGAGAACTGAGCCGGGTATAATAGTCTGGGTTTTTCCAACCATAGAAATGGAAGATTTTTTTTCATCTTTTCCCTTAAAAATGTTGTAATCTCTAATTTATTATGTGTGGACTGGCGGTACATATGTCCAAAGACTATTTGTAAATGCAGGCAGAAGAACTTAGACTATTTCGGCAAGTTCTCTGAATAGTCATCCAAGAACATCTTTCATCACCAGTCCAGTGACCAAAGAGGGCTGTGGCTCTCAAAAACCATCCACTCATATCATCACGTCATGTAGATCACTGAATTCCTGCTGGGAATCAGCCTTAAAGATAGGCCTGTGTCCTCCCAGAACTTGCAGACAAGCAGAGAACTCACAAATTAATTTACAGACAATTATCTCCTAGTGAGAGGAGTGCTATAATATAGTACAGGACACCATGGGAACACAGAGGAGGTCCCCTAACCCCCACTGCAGGGTGTGAGGGGTGAGGGAGGGCCTTGTGGAAGCAACTAGCTTCTGAGCCAAGACCTGAAAGATGAGAAGTTAGTCAGGTGAAGATGGGGAAAGGATATTTAGTATGTCTATAATTTCACAGAACTATATTGAACTGTTGAAAGCTAGAAGGGACATTACAAATCATTTAGCCCATGCCCTCCATTTTTCCTGTGTTTTGTGTTTTTTATGTGATAGTCAGACAGGTGCAGACACAAGAGTGAGGCTCAGGAAAACAGTTTATAATGCTCACGGGTCCCAGAAACAGGAGGCACAGCACTCCATGCAGGGCCACGTGAGGGAGACTCAGAGTGGTCAAGAGGCAGAAGGCCAGAGCCAGGGGGAAGCCAAGGCCAGGGCGTTTGTTGGATTTTCTTGGGAAAGGCAAAGCAGGGCAGGATAAACAGTTTAGGATTGTCTAGTTGAATGATTTCCACGGTCTCTAAACTCTGGGGGTGGTCCCTAGTTGCCTGGTCTGGCCATAGGATGATTAAGGCAGAGAAATACTGCCTGCCTCCTTGAGTGTATGAGTGTAGGGCCAGACCTCCTCCATCTGGGCTGGTTAGTTTGCCTGTCAAAGGCACGCTCCCAGCTGGGCCTTCGCTATCTAAGAATTGGTTAGCCACAGGAGGGGCAGTCTCTCCCTAGCCAGAAAGGTTTTCTTAAAATGTCAAAACATCATAATATGCAGAAAATTAAAAAAATATATACAATACATTCTAGGAGGAAACTAATAAACAAAATGTAGATAGCAAGTTGGGGCTAGAAGTACCTGCAGCTCAGATTGTTTGCTCAGTGTTCATTTGATTACAACTTGCTGTTTGAAAGCAGCTGCCACAGTCCTCTGATGTGTGGGTGCGCACTCAAGTCCTTTGGTAATTATTCAGCCTAGAGAACAAAGAGATCTGTGATCCAAGAGAAGGCTTAGAATCACTGAACTAAATGAAGACATCTTCCAAGATACACAGAGATAGTGCAACCGTTTGAGTATTTTCATGTCCATGAGGCTGGCTTTACCAGTCCTGCCAGTCAGGCCATGTAGAGAAGACAGAGTCCTTACAAGAACTGAAGTCATTGCATGTGGGGGTGTGATCTGGAGGGGTGGATCCTATTGTCAGCATCACTGTCACATCAGGTCTCAGTCCTTGCTACCCTGGGCTGACTGGAGGGCTTCCCGCGTAACAGAGAAAGGTGCCCAGGTGCATTGGGGGCCCAGTACCAGCTCATTCAGTGGCACACCTTACAGAGCTCCCTTCCTGCGAAATTCTCACCTTCTCCTGTAAGGTTCTCTGAGGGCAGCAGTCTCTGTTCCAGTTTCGGGTGCTCAGGTTTGCAACTGATTCCCCTGCCCTCCCGGGGTGCAATGCTTGTGCACTGTCTTGATTACTGCAGCTTTCTAGCAAGTCCTGAAGTCAGTCCTCCAGCTTTGTTCTTCTTCATCATCATGTTGGCTGCTCCGGGTCTTTTGCCTCCACGTATAAACTTTAGAATCAGTTTGTCGATATCTGTAAACTAACTTGATGAGATTTTTATTAGAATTGTGTTGAATCTATAGATGGAGGTGGGAAGAACTGACATCTTGACAATATTGAGTCTTCCTATCCATAAACATGGGATAACTCTTCCTTTATTTAGTTCTTCGATTTCTGTCATCAGCGTTTTATAGTTTTCCTCATCTAGAGTTTTTAACTCTCAGGCTTGTCCACACCTAGCCTCCAGCAATTCATCAGTTAAGTTCACATTTTCTTACTCTGGCACTGGTTCCTATAGAGGTTTCTGCTCCAGTAGGTTGTGATTCTCTGGATATGCCTGTCTGTCTCTCCAATTTTGGGATCAGTGGTTTGCCTATGATCTCACTTATCTTACTGATCTAAGAGTTGTGATTTATCAGTTAGTTCAGTCTTTTACTTGTTGTTAGGACGGAGTGGTGACTCCCAAGCTCCTTATGGGGAACCAGAAACTGGAAGTCAATTCCCTCCTTTTTTTTTTTTTTTTTTTTAAACTTTGTGCAACCATATCTGTCTAAACTCTAAGTGTATTTCTCTGTGAACATCAGATAGCCAGCAAATAGAAGTCAGCAAGTCTGCAACTGATGCATCTTTGCTTCTCTATTCAGCCCAGTTTGTCTCCGATTTTGGGGATTCTCTGTGGAGTGGGATGAATCATCTGGGGATTCACAACCAACTGATTCAATCTCTCATGGCCAAATCCATTGCTCTTTGATCATGGTTCTATGTAGGGCTCTTGAGGAGTCTCTTTCTGTTCCAAGCCCATTTGCTGTAGGTCCTTCCCTGCTTGTTGCTGAGGTAATAGAACAATTCTTGTCTTGATATTAGTGATTTTGAATGGCTGAGCACATTCAAGGCTTTGGTCAGTTATTTGTATTTTGTGGAAAACTCTATAGAAATAATCTCCAAAGTAGAGATCCTGGATGATGAGACATTCAGATATTTAAATATGTATTTAGAGTTTGGGGAGAGATATGGAGACAGGAACTTGGGACTCTTAAGCATGACCACCCTCTGCCACACCCTTGCCCCTCAGTTACCCTCTGTTTGCTGACTGCCTGTTTCACTTGGGTCCTTGACTGGTCTTGCAACAGGGAAACCAAACTTGGTGCCAAGGTGAGCATCACTCGGCCATGCTATAAGCAGAGCCCAGCTCTTTGG